CTTTCCCTAAGCACATGTCATTCTACCATACGTTGAAGTCTTTTGAGTATTTATTTTCCCTATTAAAACCTTATTGAGAGGCTCCCTGGTGGCACAGTGGTTAAGAATCCGCCTGCCAATGCAGGGGACACAGGTTCGAGCCCTGGTCCAGAAAGATCCCATATGCTGCAGAGCAACTAAGCCCACGAGCTGCAACTACTGAGCCCACGTGCCACAACTACTGAAGCCCACGCGCCTAGTCCCCGTGCTCCGCAACAAGAGAAGCCACCGCAATGAGAAGCCCGCACACTGCAACGAAGAGTAGCCCCCCGCTCGCCACAACTAGAGAAAAGCCCACACACAGCAATGAAGACCCAACACAGCCAAAAATAAATACATTGAAAAAAATCTTATTGAGCCTAGATATACATCTTTGCAGAATAGTAACTTGCATATAACAGGCAGTAACTCAATATTTTTTGAGAGAATATATGTACAGGTCTAATTTTTACTTCCTTTCCCAGTCATTTTCCCCTATGAGAACAGGAATATATTTTAGCAGTCACTACTAGGAAGTTGGAGGGAAACTAATGGGTTACATATTTCCACTGTCTTTTGTGTGTGGGGGGGTAATTCTTTTTTTAAAAATTTTTATTGGGGTATAGTTGATTTACAGTGTTGTGTTAGTTTCACGTGTATAGCAAAGTGAATCAGTTATACATATACATATACCCACTCTTTAGATTCTTTTCCCATATAGGCCATTACAGAGTATTGAGTAGAGTTCCCTGTGCTACACAGTACGTCCTTATTAGTTATCTATTTTATATATAGTGGTATGTATATGTCAACGCCAATCTTCCAATTTATCTCTCCCCCTGCCTGGGCTAATTCTTAAGGCTGACAATTATATTCTCCCCTAAATTTTCATCTGCCAATTTTATTTAATAAGACTATAACTGAAAAAAAATCATTGAGGCAGCATATATTTCAACTGATATGAGTCACTCAACATGAATTCATAAAATCCTAGGTGATATCTAGAATTAAGTGCTACTTACAATTTGGAAAAAGTGAAAGTAATATAACTAGATAATGTTTAAGTGATCAGTAAGCAGTAATATAACTAGATAATGTTTAAATGATCAGTAAGCAGCTCTGTCTAAACTACAGTATATTTATGCCAGTTATATTCCCAAAGCAATCATTCTTCATGGTCACTATTCTTCTTCCAGGTTTGCACAAGTTTAATAAACCCGAGAGTTGGCAAACTTTTTCTGTAAAGGGCCGGACAGTAAATGTTTTGGGTTTGGTGGGCCATACAATCTTCGTTGCAACTACTCAACTCTGCCAGTGTAGTGGGAAAGTGGCCCAAGGACAATAAGTAAACAAATGGGTGTGGCTGTGTTCCAATAAAACTTTATTTACAAAACCAACCAGCAGGCTCAATTTGGCCCCCAGGCAGTAGCTTACCTTTCAAACAAAACTGAGGCAGTAACAGTTTAAATGCAGGGTCAGGCTAGCAGTATTTAAAGGGGGAAGGCACTGGCAGAAATCCACGAATTTAATGTCTAATTCTAATAAGGGCCAGAGAAGTAGAAGAAAAAAAATACTACCTTTAAATAAAGTCACTGACACGGTTATCGAAGTCAGCCAACTAGAGGGGCTAAAGAGTATAAAGAACCAAGAGGTTTAAAACTTTTGACATTGGTGTTTTTATTAATACAAGATGAACACAAAACTATGCAGGAACTTCTTAAAAAATAGTGATACTTGTGGGCTTCCCTGGTGGCGCAGTGGTTGAGAGTCCGCCTGCCGATGCAGGGGACACGGGGTTTGTGCCCCGGTCCGGGAAGATCCCACGTGCCGCGGAGCGGCTGGGCCCGTGAGCCATGGCCGCTGGGCCTGCGCGTCCGGAGCCTGTCCTCCGCAGCGGGAGAGGCCACAACAGTGAGAGGCCCGCGTACAGAAAAAAAAAAAAAAAAAAGTGATACTTGTAGTAAAGAGTTGACACTTAAAGAACAAATTCTGCAAATGCTGGTGCAAGAGAGACTGAAAGTCTTTATATACAGGAAACATCAAGCAAAATTGGAAAATTGCTTGAAACAAATGCAACAATATTTAGTGAGCTGTGATAGAGGCCAGGCAATGAGTATTAGAGGCCCACCTTAAGGAAAGTGGGAAACGTGAGCAGTGGACATATGCAACTGCAAAGAACTGGGGGGGAAATGAATTCAACTAAGGCTCAGTGTAATTCTACTCTAAATTTTTTCTTGTTGATTACATGACCTCGGGCACGTGATATACCATTCCTATGCTACTTCTTTTTGACAGACAAGAGTCCCTGGACTTGGTCGGCTTTGTGGGTTAACTCCTACTAGATAAATATGCAACTGCCCCTAACCTTTCTGTACAAAATTCACTTCCTGCATCAGGATCTTAAGCCATGGAATTCAACACTGTAACCACGCTCTAAGATGATAAAAGCAAAAATTTCAAATCCTTTGTAGAGCAAAGCAAAGTATGAAGGGATAACTGGGATCACTCTTTGCTTCCAGGACTTTGAGGATCGGGAAAAGGGGCCTGGTCACCCACCTCCCCCCGCCCCAGCACTTAATATATTAAACAGGATCCACACGTTCCTTCAAATATATATCCTCTGTCATCTACGTATTTGCAAATTGTTCTTCATTTCATAAAGCCTTTTAATAAAATGAACATTCTCCTCAAGTGTTTTCTTCTACTAGCAGAATGTGTCCATAACAGTTCATTTATTCACACAACAGGATTTAGAGTAGAATCCGGAATTTATAGAATATTCTTGTTCTCAGTACAACATGCAGAGCTGCCTCCACCCTTTATTTTTCTATCTGCCTGTTTAAAAAGGTAATGTATTATTTTCTGGTCACTTAGTTTGCTTTTCATTTTGTTACAGCATATTCTCCCTTAACTCAAATGACCAGAAAGCTGCATCTGTTTAGTTAATCACCTTAGATATTGATTAGTAGGGGACAAAGCACTAGCCTAGGAGTTTGGAGACACAGCTTCCTAGTACTGGCTCTACTACTGACTGACATTTTGGAGATTCACGGGCCTGTTTCCCCATACATTAAACAAGGAAGATAGATCTGGTCTCTTGAGTTCCCTTGTAACGGTGAATGCATTTTTCAGACATTTTTACAATACTGAGAAAACCTTATGATACTGGGATGTGAGATCCAAGATCTCACTTTAAAATTCTATTTTAAGAAATAATAAGCTTAAGTCATGCCAGATCTTTGGATATGTGCAGGAAATACAGTTAACTGTCAGTTAGTTAAATCTTTTAAATCTTTTTTCATCAGCAGAGCTCTAAAGAGCCTTTTAGACATTTCCTCCCCCAACTCCTCCTCGAAAATCCCCACACCATTTAAAAAGCACAAATATACTGCATATCAGTCTATGTGCTGTATGTATACCTGTGCTTTATACATACGAGAAAAATTTTCTCACCCACCAAGAACTAACTAGGGGCAATATTGGCCACTGAGAATGCAAAATTTAGGAGATCAATTTTTGGTGATACCTAAACTTTTTGTTCAAATAAAAACTAGGTGTGAAAAAGGCCCAAGCTTATTTGCCTGACAACTAGTTCCAATCCAACTGTGCTGAAGGTGAAGGTCAGAAGTGACAAAGCAGCGGAGAGAATGACAAAAATTAGTCATTACAGAAGATCTGGAGGCGAGGGTGGGGAGTGCACAGTTTCTTCAGGAGTGGGTAAGAGATGGGGTGAAACTAGAAAAAGTCGTGCTTCAAACCAAATGGTTGCTGCTTTCCGGTCGCGATGAACTGTCAGAAGAGGACGTTCAGGTTCCTGTGTGAGCTCGCCCTCCGGTCAGCCCGCCCCGCCTCCCCCCGCCCCCAGACTGAGGGTGGGATCTTCCGGACACCAGGAACACCGGAGATACCCGCAGAACCTCGATGAATAAAGGGGTGGGAATGCTATTGGAAGTCACTTTTTTACAGCTCTTGCCACCCTCCACCGCCCCCACTTGCCTCCTCCAGTATCTCAGTCCTGCTCACCCAAGCCCACTGATCAAAGGGATGCTGTTGGATCTTCTCAGAGTGTTGTCTTCTGTGGTGGTTGAACTCGGCAGCACCTCCAAGCCTAGTTCCATTTTCTCCTGTGCCATGTCCGTGCCGAAGCTTAGTTTGGAGCTCTCAAGGTTTTCTGGCTCCCGTTCATATAAGCACAAGTCAAAGTGAGGAGCTGATGTAGGGAGAGCGGAAAAAGGGGGGAAAGAGAAGAAAGGAGGAAGCTCTTAGACGAGTGCGTGCTCACTTTTGCAGCCCTACCATCCCCAACACCGGTGGGCACAAAGTGGGGCAGGACTGGCTCCGACCCGCCTAACTCCCAAGCTCGGGGCACCAACACTGAGATCCTCCACCTCCAAGCCTGTAATGAAAATGAGGAATTTATCTGAATCCGTGAATCCTTCTCCTTTATTTCTCTCAGCCAAGGCAACCCCGGGTAAGCCTTTCCGGCCAAAAACAAAAACTACAACCTGCAGCCCTGGATAATCGTTTGGGCACCGCCCCTCTGCGCATGCGTCCTGGGTCGGCCCGCTGACGCCTGTTTACCACGCAAGCAATGAGCATTATCGCAGGCGCCTGTGTCATTCTTGCTGGGGGCGCACAGGCAGTGAGGGAGCCGCCTTTCCCCCCCAAACCCGGTTCTCCCTTCTCTCCCTAGTGCAGACTCACCTTGGTTGTTCTTCCGCTCCTGTGTTAACCCTGGCGTGGTTTCGTTAACCATTATTTAGGAAAGAAAGAATGGAATAAGGTGTATGGGAGCGCCATCCTTTCTGCCCCAAGTCTAATACCCAGTTTTCTCAGTTTTGGTTAGCCCAGTGTCCCGTTATGACTGAGGCCAACAAGCTTGTTATCTCCCAGGACGAATTTTTCCATCCTGTTACAACAGACACCCTACACCTTTGCAATTAAAAAACACTGAAGCCTGGGGGTGTGAGCGGGGACACTTTTAAGTGCTTAGGGACCACCCACTCCCAAAGGGTCCTGGTAAGGCGCTAACACAATTGAACCAATCGCACAAACAAATCATTGTTTTCCGTGTGTGTGTGTTTTACCATAATCATACAGTATATTTTTACAATGAATAAAACCTAGCTGCTCGAAGCTATTCATCTAAGAAAAAAATTGGGGTTAAAGCAGGGAGGCTTATTTTCTTAAAGCAAATATCTCAGAATTTAATATACATTCCAGTGTTTCCATTTAACAATGCTATCATGGCTCGAAACATTCTAAGAACTGCTCTTTTAGAATTTTTCACCACCAGTTAATGAGCCACATTGAGTAGTGAAATCTTAACTCCATGCTAATAATTTTGAAAAACCACACATTTTAGGAACCATATAGAGAACTGGGAGAGAAGGCAAGTGAAACGAGTGAAATGGGAGTTATTAAAATAGTCATAACGTGGTATAGCACTTTACAGTTTTAAAAAAATGTTTTCACATACTTATCTCAATTGGTTCAATCATTAACCTTGCTCAGCTAATCAGTGGTGAATTTAAAATAATGGGATTATCTTGAGACAGTTCATGACAAGTTCATGTATAACATGAAGTATCATAATCATTCTTCATTCATTCTGAGAATAGACTAAGAAAAGTGTAGTTATATTGCGCAGAATTAGGTTACCTAAACCCCAGACATGAGGACGATTTGGAGTTTCCATTCCTGATATAAGACAGGTTAACAATAGCTACCATTTGGGGGGCACTTATTATGTGCCAGGTACTGTCCTAAGCACTTGAAATATGTGATCGCATTTAATGCTTACAGTAACTCTGTGAGTTAGGCGCCATCACAATGCCCATTTTTCAAAGGAGGAAACCGAAGCCGGGAGGGGTTACTCAAATTACAACTACTAAGTGGCAAAGCCAAGATTCCTCTGCCCTTCTATTTAAGTGAAAAGACAGACCAGGCGCCTCTGGATATTTCTCTGGATACTATTTTTGTACCCATAAGTACTCGACAAATACTTATTAGATTATTTTATGAATAAATACAGGTTTAAATAACCTGTCCTTCACAGCTATCCTGTAAAGTAGGTAAATCATTTCTATTTTACAGTTGATAAAATTCCAGAGAGATTAATGGCACATAACTAGGTAGCAGTAGTAGAATCTGGGCTGGTACCAAGATTCCTGAAAGCCACTGCCAAAGTTCCCAGGGTAAGCTGGAAAGTTTATGAAAGATGGCAGCTAAAGCTTAGTAAAGTCAGGGTGACTGCAGAAGGCAATGGTTAAATACAGAACAGAGGGTCAAAACCAAACTGTCTGAATAAGAGATAAATATGGAGTACATCAGAGAACAGGTAGCTCTTACCTCCACTCTACTGCTTATTTTACTTTTCAAAGAGTTTGTTACTATTCTTGGCAGGTAATAAGGTTTAATGGATATATTCTGAATGAATAGACCAATCAAATCTCATCATGTCTAAACATTACTGATATCTAAACACAGAGCTCGTGTTTCTAATCCAGCTGGCAGGAAAATACAGGCAATTTAAAGGAAACTATCTAAAAGTGGTTTAAAAACTCTATTATGGTCAGAACACATAAATATTGAGGATTAAAATGACGATTAGGCTTGGCAAGTTTTAATATGGTACAACTGAGTTGAAGAAGCAGGTAAAACTATTTTTGCAGAAGATGATTTTTTTTTTATTTTAAATTTCCTGGTTATTAAGTTTCCTGTATTTTCTAGGTATGTATGATTAACACAACACAGAGGCCATCTCTCTCCCAGGGTCATTCAAGTGGTGAGGATTAAATGAGTTAATATTTCTAAAGCTCTCAGAATACTGCCTAGCACACAGTAACTGCTACGCAGGTGTTCAATAAAATAAGTAATTCCAGGGCTTCTCTGGTAGCGCAGTGGTTGGAAGTCCGCCTGCCGATGCAGGGGACGTGGGTTCGTGCCCCAGTCCGGGAGGATCCCGCATGCCGCGGAGCGGCTGGGCCCGTGAGCCATGGCCGCTGGGCCTGCGGGTCCGGAGCCTGTGCTCCGCAACGGGAGAGGCCTCAGTGGTGAGAGGGCCGCGTACCGCAAAAAAAAAAAAAAAAAAAAAAAAAAAGTAATTCCAGGTCTCACACAAGAATTCTGGTTCTGCTACTTGTTCGTCAGGGTTTTACCTAATATCGTTGAAGCGAACGGTGCTTGTATAATGGTGACGAGTGTTTCTCACTAACGATATGAACTCTCACTAGATTCTCTTTATTTTTACCCCATTGCTTTTGTTTATTCACTTCCCTTTGCACCCCAAGTGCATCCAAATGGATGATCTGAAAAAGAAATCTGCCCCTCCAGACAGAGACCAACAAAGTCGAGGGATTTAAGAAACGAGCGAGGATCACAGAAGTCAGAGCATACGAATTGGGAACGAAAAAACGTGGAAACCACGTGTTTCTTTTTCCCATGAATACTGGCCCAAACTCCTCCAGAAAGATGATGCTCCAGCATCTCCAAACGATTGGTCCTTTTCAAAATCGGGCGCCAGGGTCCCCGGGCCAATGCAGTCAAAAAAGGCTCCGGGCTCCCTGGAAACGCTCCTCCCCTTTGGAGGAAGTTTGCCGGGCGGGGCTCCCACGCATGCTCCGTGCCCGCGGGCCCATTGGCGCGGCCGCCGGGCGCGTGCGCAGGACCCGATGGGTCCCCGGACGCGGAAGACCTGGCCCGGCGGAGGTTCCCGCTTCTGAGGCGTGAGAGGCGGCAGGTTGTAGAATTTGATCTTGGCCCCGAGGGGTTCCCCCGGGCCATTAGAACCCAAGACAGGAGAAGGAGGCACCGCGGCGGCGGCTGGTCGAACCCCCCCACCTGTCCTCCAGGCAGGGAGGGGGGGCGAGGAGAGGAGAAGCACCGATCGCAGGGGAGCCTCCGGACCGGGTCCCGGAGCATGGGGGACTGGACCGGATCCCCGAGCATGGGGAGCTGGAGTCTCCGAGGCTGCCCGGCCGGGCCCTGCCCGACTGTCAGCTTCTCGGTGCTAGTGCTGCCCGGGCAGCTGGGGTGTCTGTAGCCCGGCCCCGCTTGAGGTCGTTGGCCAAAAGATAGCAGCATGAGTGCCGCCGCTGCCTAGTTTCCTCCCCGTCCTTCTCTGCTCCCTCCTTTCTCTCTCCTCTTCCCCATACTTCGTCCTTTTTCTTTCACTCCCCCCCTCCTCTCCCCCTGTCTTCTTTTCCCCCTTCTGTCCTCCTCCTTTTATCCTCTTTGTCTTCCTGCTTTTCCATCTATCCTTTTTCCCTCCCTCTTGCTCTTTTACCTCCTCCCTCCATCCTCCCCTTACTCGTTCCTCTTCCTTTATCCTGTCACCGTCCACCACGACCTCTCCGTCCTCCTCCCCTCCCTCATCCTCATCCTCCTTCCCTCCTCCTCCTCTCCTGCTTTTCTCCGCCCCCGCCCCCAAGCCTCCGCCCCTTAGCCCCCGCCCCCAACTGCCAGTCCCCAGCAGCTCAGTCCTGCAGTGAGAGTCTTGGGAGTCCATAGCTAAGCACCAGGAGCTGAGCACTGTCCGCCGTGCCTGCCTGCAAGTCTCCGACATGGCTCAGGAGAAAATGGAGCTGGACTTGGAGTCTGACACATCTGATGGGGTCACCCTGAGGAGAGCCAACAGCGCTCCCCTGATCCAAGGGCTCAGGTGAGCACAGTTGGGGAAGATGGAGTGCAGGGTTCAGGGGCTCCTCAACCCCCTGCAAGCAGTCTTCCTTCCCTCAAGTGAGAGTTGGAGCTCATGTGGGTCCTCCATGCTGAGGGGGTGGGGACTTGTTTGCTTGACAGTAACTTGGGTCCCAAGGTGGAGTGAAAGTTTGACCCCAAACTCTGGGAAGTGTGGGGAAAATGGGGCCCTCTCTACCTGGGGCTCTGTTGGCCCACTGTAAAAGAAACTACAAGAAGCTTCTGGCTCTTCTAACAAGTTGCTTGCCCTGCCCAATTTACACCACTGAATGTCAGACTGAAGCCCCTGGAACTAGGATTGCAACTTGACACCTGCGTCTAAGAGTTGCTATTTCTAAGCTTAGTTTAGGAACCCTGGCATTAACACAGGTTTACTTCAATAAATCGCAGTTTATCTAATAACTTGTAATTAAATGGCATATTCATGTCCTATTAAGTGATTGGGATTTGTCATAATGTTTTCAGATCCTAGAACTGCCTGAAACGCATTCTGGTCAATAAAAAAAGAAGGGTGGCATGTCAGTGAAAGCACAGGTTTTCGAAAATAATCGAAAGAATTGACACTTGAATTTTAGCGTAAGGTCTTGTGTTTTCATGTGAATTAAGTCACCAGAGGGTCTATTCTAAGTTAGACTCTTGTGATAGTGAAGGTTAGGTTGGCAGACGTCTTGAGCCTATTACATTTCACTTTTTGTAAGTGGGCAATTCATCTTAGAGCCAATTCGTGAGACCCTGTAGAAATGGAATGACTCCAAAAAAAGGGGATGGGAGTAGAATTAGCCAGAAACACTAGTCAGGCACAGCGAAGGCAAAGGAAGAGGTAATCCTTGTCTGTCAAACTGATTGTAATATCTTTATTTTGGGGAAAAAACAGATTCACCTTTTTTTTTATATTTCAAAACTGAGGGAATGGTGGAGTGACTCTTTGCTTTTCTAATGCTGTCCTCAGCTCTACATTTATTTTTGACACTATAGGAATAAACTGGTCTTTTCTGGTTGTCTTTTTGAACCTCATAAGCCAGCAATTGCTGGGGACTGGGGTGAGCCTGTTGACCTGCATTTAGACTGTTGTAGAAATAACATGCTGGGTTTTTATGAATCATGATTTAAGTAATTATTTGAAAGGTAGCGTGATGCGACAGAAGAAGGAGTGAGGCGACCAGGCCTAGTCCCAGTTTTCTCCCTAACTGGCTGTGATCAGGAATGAGTCACTTAGCCTTGTCGAGTCTCTGTTTTCTCATTTAAAATTTCAGAGAGCTGGATTAGGTGATCTCCACGGTCCCTTGCAGCCCAGTCCAGTTCAGCCCTGAAAATCCTTCTTGACCTCTTGTCCTGGGCATGGCACTCTGTTAGGGACTGCAGGGATGACCAAAACACCTCTACCAAGGGGTTTAAACCACATGCACACTTTCCTTTAATGAAAAAGTTGGTGTCTCAAGAAGCATCTGATTTCCCATTGTGCTCCCACCCAGTGCAGAGGAGGGAATGAGCGCATTAGGTTTGTGGAATGAAGAGGGGCTTTGTGGAGGGTCTGGCATTTTCGATGGGTGTTGAAGGAGAGGAAGGGTTTGGACAGATGGTGGTGGGAGGGAAGGCATTTGAGGCAGAAGGGGCGACAGTAGCAAGATTCCAGGTGTGCTGATGTAGTTGGACAGCAGGGTTCCAAAGTAGAACACATGTTTAGGGCAATAGTGGGAGATGTGCTGATAGGGCTCCCACTGGACATCAGGGCTCCCCAGCCCTTCTCATGTCATAGCACATGTAGAAGGCAGTAACATTTGCGGGTAGGTCCTCTGGGGTAAACAGATGAGGCTGCCAGTGTCTGGTGGTAACCGGTCTGGGGGCGTGAGTACTGCCCAGAAGGAGCTGGAGACAACCAGTCTGGAGCTCCGCCCCATACCTCTCCTAGCCGGCCCCCAAGCCGGAGGAGATCAGTATCAGCCAACCTGTAATCCACAGCACACCACTCGGGAAGCTCTGAAGAGGAGGACGGTGAGGAGTTGCTTCATTCTATCAAACGAGGAGCCGTTGTCGATTTCACTGTTAACCAGAGAGTTGGCGTTAATACAGTCGAAGGACATCTTATATGAGAAGACATTAATCATTTTATTTTTTATTTTTCAGTGACCTTTCCCAGGTTTTTCAACCTTACATGTTTAGAACTCGGAGGAATAGTACAACCATCATGAGCCGTCACAGCTTGGTAAGTATAGGAGTAAGTATCTTTAGTAGTTGGGATTGGGGGAAGCACTTGCAAATATAGTTCTTTCTTGAGATGATGTGCTCTGCACCATTGCTTACAAAAGAAACAAATGATATTACCTGTCTTGTTTACTGCTTATGCTGTGGCTATTTTTAGCTTTTGGTGCAAAAAGGAAACCTGGTTAGAATTTTTTCTTGGCTGTGGGACTTTTGAAACATTGTTCAAAGGTATTTTGAAACATTGTTCCTTGTTTTTTGTCACTACTTGCCTCATGGTAGTGAGGTAAGTCAGGATTAACTTCTAATTATAACTGAGAACAGTGGTCTTTATTTGTCCTAGGATGCAAAATCATGTATATGGTAGCAGAGTGTTTATTTTTCTTGGACAGTGCTGTCTCTTCAGAGTAAAGTCTGTCTGAAAATGCTTGGATTTGTATTCCAGTAGAGGTGCTGATGGTGACTGGTCTATATAGCCAGAGCCATCAGGGAACAAGTTTTTAGTTGGTTGTTTGTGTCGGGAGAAATTATGATGAGGTTTTTACATAGTAGCCCTTCACATGTGGAGCCCACTTATCCGGTAATTGCAGTGCCCTGGAAGATATGAGGTGTAAGCAAATAGGCCTCTAAATGGCTGAACCAGATTTCCATAGACTGCACAAAGGTTCATCAGTTTATTTATAGGAGGGGCTCTCTGACCTCTGAATCTAAAAAAATAAAAAAATTTTAAAAAAATAAAATTTATGCACAATTATAATAAGCTTCCAACCCAGTAGTGTGTGAGAAGCAGCAAATCAGAAGAGGTACATTTGGGTTAAAGGTTTATTAGCAGCAAGGGAGGAGAGGGGAAAACTGAAAAGCGGACAGTGGTTCTTACAAAATCAGCCCGTGGCTTGGTCTTAGGGCTGAGAGCCTGTTAATAGACCCTGAGGGTGTCACTGGCGTTGAACTGTAAAATAATGGATGTTCCTACAGATACCTGGCTCACTAACCTTTCCTTAAATTATAGTAATACACACTCATATGGTATTTTACATATTACAAAGTACTTTCACACATTTAATTCTCATAGCAACCCCTGTGAAGTAGGCAGGGCAAAAGATGCTTTTCCCAGTTAAAAGAGGCAACAGCTAAGACTCAGCCGATCTAAGTAACTTGCTCCGAATCACACAGTTAGTAAGTGGCAGAGCTGGGATTAGAATAGAGATCTTCCAGTGACATTCTGTTTGGTCAAATCTGTTTAAGAAATGGAGGTGGGGAATATAACACTTTTAAGGAAGATTTCCAGCTGAAGTGGCTACAGATAATTCAAGGGGGAAACGGTAGCTCTCTGGAGATTTCGTTTACTGCCCCTTCTTCCCTGAGCATACTAGAACATAGAACTACTCGGTTTTGCTGTATATGTGAAAAATGTTTCTATATGTGCTACAGCCGTGTTCTGATCTCAACAGCATAGCAAAGAAGGGAAAATGATTTTGCCCCTCTGAACTTCACTTGGCTCTTTTCTAAGATGTGAAGATTCTTATCAACTCCGGCGGGGTGCGTCTCTCATTAATAGCCTTTCTTCTGGCTCTACTAAAATGCATGCAGACTGAAATGGAAAGGGCTGGTGGGGGGGGGGCGGGGTTGAAGAAAGAGATGTGCAGGACTAGGACCTTCATTATTAACTGATTAGATAGAAAGGCAGGGAGAAGAGGACTGCAGTGACTGAGATTTTGTTTCTTGGTGACCAGGGGAAAAGTGTTGCCTTTATTCTGGGTAGAGAAATAAGAGGAATTGGTCGTTTGAAGGGAAAAAAGATAACATTCTTTCCAGGCATGTTGGGTTCAAGGTGCCAGTGGCCCCGTGCTGTTCTCCAAAGCAATATTCAGAAATCTTCTCAGAAACGACAGTCGTCCTGCCTCACCCACTTTCACTTTCAGCAGATGACCCTTCTCACTTCTCAGAGAAGGCAGACACCTCTCTTCCATAACCGGCAGCTTTCTTCTCCTGGAAGCGTCTTTCCCTTCACATGGGGTGCTTTCTGCTAATGGTTGGGAATTTGTCAGACTCCCCTGTGCCTTTGCTTAGTCTGTCGTCTCTGCTCTATCTTGTGTCCTCACAGTCGCTTCCTTGCTGGCTCTTTCC